AGGAAATCAAGAACATCTCTCTAGCGGCAAAAGTGCGGTTGACCCAAGTGCTGTTGCATCCCCGACGGCCGACGACACGAATGCTGCTACGCCCCAAGACGGATCTTTGTCGAGTGCCACCACGGACGCCAAACCGAAGCCACCACAAGTCGTGCATCTACCACCAAAAGAAGTCCAAGAGGCCAGGCTGCAGGAGACGGAGCGAAAGTTGGACAGAGCTGCCGAGAAGGAGCGAAGAGAAGAGGAACGGCTCACCATCCCACCCACGAATGTGCCTGTCGACGTTTCTTCCCCGTCATCGACTGTTGGGCCCTACTCCCAAGCAACACCGCACGCGCAACACCATTCGCCCGATACCAGTCCTGACTCCGAGACCTACAGGGAGCGCAACAATGTGCCGTTGCCAAACGACGATGTCCTCGACCCCGCCGCACAGCAAGTTAAGGATGACCACGAGCGTGCTTTGCAGAAACGAATGAAGGAGGCAAGGGAAACCGCCCGAGCAAGAGATGACGACTCCCCTACACCAGACATCGAGCAACAGATCGAAGACGAACAGGCGATACGGTTAGCGCGCGATGGGAAGAGTCGTCTGAGCGAGTCCCAGCCCTCCGCAAATGTACATTCGTTGACCGAGGGAGTGGATGGTGGTTCCCGTGCGGCAAAAACAGAAGACGACGACTCGATTGGAACAAAGACTGTTCATGACGTTGCAATTGACTCGTTACCAACTCCAACGACTGTTGCCGCAGAGCCTTCGACCATGGACCGCGACAATGCCGACCAAGTCATCGATCAACAACATGCCTCCCCTACCGCCGACCATCCCACTCCTCCCGCTGAGATCGATGTTGAAATGCGCGACGTACCTTCCCTGGATACACAATCAACGACCTCACCCCAACATCCGACATCCCGTCCTGAGCGTATGACTACCCGCGTCGCGTCTGGAGCAATACGACAAAAATCTGTCTCTGAGATTATAGCTGAGAAGGCAGGACCAAAAGCCATACTAACCCCCCGCTCAAGTAACCATTCGGTATCGACAAGTCCTCCAAGACCCAGAACAGCTCGTAACAAATCGCAAGAAATCTCGACCGTCGTATTCGCCAAGAAGACACCGACACGGGCATCGAAAGCCCTGCAATCGTACAATGAAGATTATGCGTCGCTCCAAGGTGCTTCGGAAGATTCGAGCCGAGATTATCTGGAGGGTCTTTTCAAGTACCAGGCTCATCACCCGCCTAGGTCTGTGCCTCTGCAGGAACTTGTAGCGTCTGCAAGGAAGACGGTGTCGACGGCTGGTACGCTCGCTATGATTCGGGAACATCAAGACTACAAGATTCTGAAAAGAGTGTACCAGTTGCAGAATGCCAACCGATGGTCCTTGAGGCAACTTCAAAAAGCGGTCGAACCTGAGCGTCCATTTACCCACCAGGATCAACTGCTTCTCGACATGAAGTGGATGCACACAGACTTCAAGGAAGAGAGGAAATGGAAGAAAGCCCTTGCTGCTACCTTTGCGGAATGGTGTGCCGAGTACGTGGCTAGTACGCCTGAAGAGCGAACAACCTTACGGGTCAATGCACGCATTCCAAAGTCTGCTAGGCGTGCGAGCAATGATGAGGAGATGAATGATGCTCCTACGCCAGAGCTTGTCCACTCGAGTACGCATGAGACGGAGAGTGAGTCATACGGTGATGAGGACGATGTGCTTACTCCCGTCAACGCCAGCCCCCCTACAGGTCTATTCTCACTAGGCTTCAACGACGTGGTCATGAAGATCGACCGCACACCTGCCAGTGATACCATGTTCCGGGAACTGCCTCTTTACGACCCGATGTTCGAAGGCTCCAGCGACACCAACCCGTTCTCTCTTTCAGAGCCACCCATCCTTCCCGTATCCAAGTTCGTCACTGGAAAGCTGGTCTCGCAAATACGAGGGCCGCCCAAGAAGCGTAGCAGATATGACTATGACTCTGAAGACGAGCCGTCTTCGCCGCCTAGTCGATCTGGTACGTCAGCCGAACATTCAATGCCATCCACACCAGGTCGACGCCTGTTCTGTCGCAACGACTTACCACCGGAAATGACCAACGTCGCCTTATTCAACGCTGAGAACAAGCATGTTCGCGACCGACTTCAGGCTGCCCATCAATTCAGACCACCTACAGAATTCAACATGCCCACTATTGCCTTCTTCGAAAACCGCACGCCCTCTCAGTGGCTGTGGGAAGAAGACCAAAAGCTACGGGCGTTGGTGAAAGAGTATACATTCAACTGGTCTCTGGTCTCGCAGCAACTTTCGTTACCTTCGATGTTCGTGTCCGGATCCGGTCGACGAACGCCATGGGAATGCTTTGAACGCTGGGTGCAGCTCGAAGGTCTTCCGGCGGAGATGTCCAAGACACAGTACTTCCGCACCTACCAAAGCCGACTGGAGCAAGCCAACAAAACCGTTTTCGCTCAGTTCCAGGCTCAACAGCAGCAGCAACAGCAACAAGGCCAAACCCCAGGTCAACCGCGCAGAAGACCCACAACTACACCAATTCGAGTAGAAAGAAGGCGAGAAAATAGGCACCTCGCTATCATCGATGGCATGCGTAAGCTGGCCAGAAAACGCGAGTCTGCTGCCCACAAGCAAGCGGAGTCTCAGAAAGCCGCTGCGCTTCGAAAAGCACATGAGCCTGCGCCACCCAAACAAACAACCCTCACGCCACAGGAATTCAGTCGTATGAAGTGGGAACGCGAAGAGAAAATGAAGCAAAGGCACATTGCGCAGGAGATGATGGCTAGGGTAAGAATCATGTCTCTGCACAATGAGTACACCACTGACCGAAAACAGCAACAAATGATGGCGCGGCAGCAGGCCCAAATACAAGTGCAACCAGGAATGGCGAATGGTGTGAACCAGATGCAACGTAACGGGACACCCGGAGGCACAAACAATGTCCCTCCGCAAATGGCTAATGCGTCTCTGCAACAGGGGCAGAATGGCCCGGCAATGGCGGCCCGCGCGCACCAATCTCAACAGGGAATGCAAGCTAACTTCGCTAATGGCAATATGTCTGGCATGTCGATGGGCACACCGGGCGTTCCCCAAGCACAAATGCAAGGCAACATGCAGAACACCCAGCGTATGGGACCACCGGACCAGATGCGCATGGCCATGCAGAGAGGCCAATTCAACGCCACGCAACAACACCAGTTCCAACTCCAACAGCAACAGATCAACATGGCTAGCAACCTTACCCAAGGTATGGGAATGAACGGTATTCCTAATGCGAACATGATGACACCGGTTTCTAATCAGAACGGTGGTATGAACGGGAACATGAACAACTCCATGAATGGGATGTCAAACACCGCTGGGTCTCCGCGAATGAGCCAGGGCAATGGTAACATGCAAACACCGTCCCGCCCCCTATCGAGTGGGCACATGCCTCAGCTTCTAGCTTTCCAGAATCAGATTAAGGGACAACATCCGGAATGGACCCCAGAACAAGTTTCGAAACAGGCCTCCGACCACCTCAACCGTTACCTGGCTAAGCAACGTACGCAGGCATCATTGAGTCAGCAGGCAATGAGCGCAGCAGCTGGATCTCCTGGCATATCTCCTTCTCCACAAATGGCAAATAATCAATACTTCCAGCAGAACGGTAGCATAGCCAACGCTCCTCAAACAAACGCGGTACAGAATTATCAGGCCCAATTGGTCCAACAACAACGGCTGATGGCAAGACAACAGGCTGGCAGTCCTGGAGTGAACGCCCGACCACCTAGTCGGAGCGCCACGCCTCAGAATCCACAGATGCAACAAAGTCCTGGTATGCAGCAAGCGCAGATTAACCGGTCTTAAGGAATCTGAGTGGCAAAGAGAGCGCCTCTGCGAGGCCCGGTCACCCTTGGCTTGTATATAATTTTAATGTTCCTGCTTAGCGTTGTTCTTCTAGCGTGGGAAAGTGGTTTTTTTGCGATGCGGTGGGCGTACCCACGAGAAGCATGGTGTTTGTGGCGTTGAATGGCGCTCACGTAGTCGCTCAAGGAAGTGGTTTGTATTGGGGGAAAACTCTTTGTGTCGCTTTTGCCAGCGACACCCATCATGCCTTGGTGATGGGCCTCCGAAGAAATATGTAGCTGTCTGAATATCATGCAACTCGAGCATAACATCGAGATACAAACATCTTTAATCGCGTCCCTTGCCTTGTACTGACATGACTTGTAGACTGCGTTGCTAAGCCGCAGTACTTGCGATTGATATGTTCTCTCTGAGGTCTGCGTAAACGGTTGGAGACTAGAAATTGTCGAAGGTCTGTGCTCGGCAGTCGACATGCAATGTGGCGATGAGGAAGCTGATGTGGGCCCGGACCACCTGTTGACTAAGCTCCGCGAGGCAGCTGAAGGCGGTGGATGAAGGCACAAAGAACGTCGAGCGCGGAAGTCAACCTAACCTCCGCAATCTTCCCCAGCGGCCACCACGCCCCATCACAATCTTGTCACAGCTCCTCCGACTCGAATCAACTTCGCGCTGTTTCCTTTGTTGGCTTTTGGTTCTCCTCACTGTTGCAGCCGTCGCGCACCTTCCTCACTTGCGACCGCATTAGGCGTATTCATACGTACGGGCAAGAGTAGATAGGCATAGAGAGAAAGACCCTACAAAATGAACGCGCCAGACAGGTATGCTTCATCTTTTTCAATTCATCCTCTTCAACACAGTATCTCTATACGCGCAGTCCACAGTCGACGATGTCAGTTCAACACCGCGGCGACGACGAACCTACACGGTGCCTTCGCTGCTTCCACCACGAGCGCGTGAAAACAACAGAATGACGCACATTCCTATGAGCGCACGACACTATCGCCTGACCACGAGAGCGCGCTGCGCCGCATATATACACCTCCGATAGCAATAGCATGCGACACAACGAAAGTCACGACTCTACCACGCACACGCCCCGACGAACGAAACCCTCCATACCCCCAACCAATGAACGACAACCCAAGCACAACCTTCTCCCCGAAGATCGGCCAACTGATTGAGCAAAACCCCCCACTATGGACTGCGCGACAGCTCAAAGGACAACCGGCATGTAATGCACAAAGCTGACCACGACTATGAGAACAGATTCGAGCTCTTCCTGCTAGACGAAGGCCAGCAGAAAGTCGAGGAGAAAGCTGAGACACGTATGTTCCCCATCCTATCCTATCCTATCCCATCCCATCCCATACACACTCCCTCCACCCTTCCACCCGCCAACTAACAACCCTCGCACAGGCGTCCCCAACACCGCCGTCTTCACCTTCAACAAAGAAGACCACACGCTCGGCAACCTCCTCTCGCAGCGGCTCCTCAAGAACCCCGCCGTCATGTTCGCCGCATACAAAGTGCCCCACCCGCTCTTCGCTACGTTTGAACTGCGCGTCCAAACCGACGGGTCTATTACACCTAAAGAAGCTGTCATGGCGACTTGCCGGCTGGTGATCCAGGATCTGTCGAAGCTGAATGAGAGCTTTCAGACGGAGTGGCTGGGCAAGAGGATTGTCAGTGAGGGTGAGGCAGAGAGGCAGCAGAGGGAGCAGAATAACTTTTAAGCTTGGGCGCTTTGCCGCAGTGGCTGGGAAGCTCTTGGAAGATAGAGTTGTCAGGGAGTTGGTTGGGGATTTGTGGTTTGCATATGTTAGGCGTTTTTGACTGGTTGGTTTGTTGGTTGTTATGACGATTCAACAAAAGGGTTTTGATACCGTGACTTACATACCCTATAGAGCTGCGGACAGTTTGGAGAAAGAAAAACAAAGTGGCTTGCCCTCTTCCGTCTGCACATTTGCTGCGGAACATTGACTGTGAGAAAGCGTTTGGTACTATTGTAGTCTCTCGTCGGTATCTACATTTTACACACGCAGCTGCTAGTCTACTCGTCATCCAGATCAGACCAACGTCCCGGTAGTGGTTTAGTAGCGAGATCAGCATCGTCTTTCGGCGCGACCTGATTTTCGTCGCTAGCCGGTGTACTGCCCGAAGCCTCAGGCGCATCCTTGGACGCACCTTCATCCTCGCTCATGACAGCGCTGTTAGCCCCACTGACCTTCTCCTTCTGCTCCTCTTCCTCCTCAGCCTCCTCCCAGCTCTCTGCAACCTCAACAGGTACCTCCTTCTGTTTCTTCTTCTTGCTGCTCAGACTGAGTACCGCAAAGCCGCCCTTGTTGCCGAACGAAGTTGTCTTTGGGAGCTGGCGGTTTGGAACACCCTTCGAAGCTGCCACTTCGCTCCAACCTGAACCGGGACCTACGTCGGACTCTTTGCGGAGGATGTTGAGTGAGGAGTCGAGACGTGCGAGCTGCATGCTTTTGCCAATGTTTTGCGTGGTGAGAGCTTTGGTAAGCGGTGCTTGGATCGATTCGAGCATGGTCTGCATGTCGCGTTCTGGAATGCTGAGACGAGCTGCTAGAGGTGGCTTCAATGCTACTGCTTCGCTGGGAAGGAAGGTAACTTCTAGCTCGCATCGGAAGGATGTCGTTGCAAGTACACTCTTGATGATGGGGTTGAGCTCTTCAATAGTGAGTGCAAAGCGTGGGTTGAGGATAAGGAACGCGTTGTAGGGATCGCCGTTGGTGTTGCTGGGCTTAGGGCGTAACGTAGCAGTTGATACTGCTGGTGCGGGCGCAGGCGCAAGACGTTGTTGAACTTGACGAGTTCTAGCGCAATCTGCAAGTGTCCGCATTGGGGCCATGACGAACTTGGGGGTCTTGAAGATGGCCACATGTCGATGTGGTTCTGGATCCATGCTCTCTGAGTCCATGCCGAAATCTTCAGCAAGGTGATGGATGAAAGCGCGTTGGCTACGGGGCATTGGCTTGAATCGAAGACGCTTCTCATCTGGATCGGCAGCGAAGAGTCTGAGCTGCTTCTCTTGCGTCGCGGCCCAGGTAGAGTTTTGCTGGTACATGTTCAATGTGGCGTCTGAGTATGGAATGTGATCATTCTGATGTTCCGGATCAACGTTGAGTGCAAGTGCTAGAACACGATTACGCTCTAACCTTGCGCACTCTTCGTCGCATTTGAGCACCTTCTTCTGGTTGCCATCTCCGTTGCGCGAAGCATTGCATTTGGCCTCTTGCTTAATCCTCTGGCACTCGCAAGTAACGAAGATCTTGTGGGGACACGGCTTCTCTTCTTTGCAGGGTTGAGGGAAGTGACAAGGTGCCAAACACGGATGACCACAGGTGCTAAGCTCTTTGCCACATGCCTGGGTACATGGCTCTTCGCACTGTCCGGGTCGATGGCATTGCTTCTGGCACTTGTGTGTGCCACACTTGAGCGTACGTCCGCAGACTTGGCCACAGCGTACCTCGGTCAGCCAACATGGCTGGTTTTTGAGAACACTCTTGCCACATAGACATGGCTTGGCGGTAAGGAAAGCGCACTTCGGACATGGCTGGTCATCAAGGTGGCAACTGTGATCCAATTGTGGATGGCCGCAATCCTTAGCTCGCTCGCATTTGAAGCGACACGGTGGAGGTTTTGTACCGCATGGTAATGGTGGTTGTAGCACAGTTCGTCCGCAATGGCAGCTAAGTTCATCGAAAATGGCATCGCGACATGTGCCACACGGACCCTTATGACAAAGTTCCTGGCAGCGATGTTCGGGGTTGCCGCACTTCAGTTGTCGGCCACAGCTCCGCGTACATATGTGCTCGGCTTCAAAGTTCTCGTGAGCCTGACGAGGAGCCGAGTTCAAAGGCCTTCCCTTACGACGATTCGATTGGCGTTCCGCAGCTTTCTTCTCTCCAGCGCAGCAGTGCTCGCCGCACTCGTGGCGCCCGCAGTTCAACGAGACTTTACAGATGCGCCTGCACTGGGGAGGCTCGTCCATTCCTTGGTGGCAGATGGTCCTGGATGATGTGCGTCCACACCTACATGATATATCAACCGTCTTCAAGCAAGGCCGACATTCGCCTTGGTGACAGAGCTGCTCGCACTGGTGACCACATGCGAGTGTTTGCCCACAAGGTTTATCGCAATTCGGGATCGGGTCTTCGCAGGTCGTGCGTGGTTTGCCAGACATGTCTCTCAAAGCGGTCTTGCCACAAGGACAGCGGGTGACTCGGTCTGGAGATCGCGGACAATGAGGCGCTTGCGTATCCTGTGAATGGCATGCCATCTCACAAATGTGCTTTCCGCAATCGAATGAGCGTCCGCACTGATTAGGGCACTGGAAGGATCCTATCCAGGTCTCTACTGTGGCAACACCGTCTGCGGCGACATGGGACTGGCTGCTCTGCTTTTCTTCTGCCCGGTCGTGACATAGGATGTCTTTTTGTATCTGTCCGCAATAGCAACGTGCCGGCACTCGTACCTCGCAGGCACCGCAAGGACCGTCATGACAAGGTCGATCGCATCTGTGTTCACCACAAGACATCAATCCTCCACAGACATCGCCACAGCTCCAACCATTCTCATAGTCGGTATCAATACAACGGCGAGTGACGGACCTCTTGCCACAGAAGCAGTGTTGAGTGGGACCCATCAAACCACACGGGGGACAGGGACCGGCATGACACGTTGAGCCACAAGGATGTGGACAGGGCTTAGGAAGAAGTCGGGGTCGTGAGCAAGTCTGGCCACACGAGAATGGTGGTAGGCCGGGTGTTGAGCGCGGATCCAGCTCCTTCTCGCACCAACAGTGGAAGTTCTTGGGTAGGGTATCCTTTGGTAGGTTGCAGCCGGGGCAGCGCCATTGCCTTGGAGGAGGCGTCTCTCCGTCTTGAGTCTGCTGTCGCGCTGCAGCCGAACCCTCGTTTGTTGACCACTTCTTGATGCAGCCCAGGTGGAACACAGTCCAGCATGTTCGGCACGACCAAACACCCCGTGAACGCCTTGTGACGTCTTCGGTGCAAATGGCGCACTCGTAATGACCATTATCGATATCCTCGTGTGTCCTGGTGGCGATATCGGGTGCGGTAGATTTAGGTGCTTGCGGCTGCTTCTGGCGCGGTGGTCGTGATTTGCGAGGGGCGATGGGTTGGCCTGGCTGGAAGGCTGGCGCATCTGCTTGTAGTCCTGGCGGAGCTTCTGAGATGGAAGAAGCCGCGTCGTCTTCTACAGTCAATTGTCCACCGAATTGACGGCCACCAGCAGCCATGCGCTGTGGAAACCGCTCTGCGCCGCCTCTTCCTCGGCCACCCCGCGCACCGCCACGTCCACCTCTTCCACCTCGATGCGCTGCTTGTTGTACGGACGAGGGCACAAATTCGAGGGCAGCCGCATTTGGTTGCGACGGTCGTCCACTGTCGGTCTGGCCTCCTCGCCCTCGTCCTCTACCACCGCGCCCGCCGCCCCTCTGTGGCTGCTGTGCTGCTTGCGCCTGTGTTTGCTCTGCTTGCTCTGATTGTGCGGCCGTGTTCGCGTTTGTATTCCGGCCTCGTGGTCGCCGCCGTGCTCGTGCTCCTCTCGAGGCATCGGATGGGCCTGCGGCGGGTGGTTGAGGCGCAAGTGCAGGAGCCGACATGTTGTGCAATTGGACTGCGGTAGTTTCGAGCGGTGACCTAACGATGGTGTGTAGGCGTTGAAGCGCCGAGGGTGGAAAAGAAAGATTCTTGCTGCAGGCTCTAGTAAATGTCTGGCCTGCTGAACTGGTAAAGAGAGGGCGGTCGCTCTGTTGCTGTGGTGGGAAGCTTTGCAGTGGCGAGCCTTATGCTGGGGAAGGTGCCTGAAAGGACACTAGGAAAGGCGGTTGCAGATTATGCAGGCGCAGTGATGAGTCAAGTCAGACTCATACGACGGAGCAGCCGGGCGCCGATGCCTCGGGCTTTGAAGGAGTGGCGCAGGTGAAAAGCGCGTGCTCGTGAATTGATTGCTGATGTGGGAGACTGTCGCTCGCATCGGAAATTCCATGGGCGCGTCATACCCAGGGTCCGGCCAATCGAGACTACGGCTAGTTCCGGGCGCCCATGGTCGCCGCGTTGGAGCTTCACATCGCGAGCAACACCATCGCCCGCCGACCACCCCCATATCCGCCCCCATCATGGTCAAGTCACTCGTCGGCGCCCTCGCTCTGGCAGCGCTGCCCTCGGCCCTCGCATTCCGCAACACGTCGCCCTTCTTCCTCTTCTCCACGGCCGAGTACGCCTCCGTCACATCACGCAGCGCATGCCGACGTCCAAGCTAACAGCTGCAGCCTCCTCATCCCCAACAACGACGCCGCCATCGCCGAGTCATCCCAGGTCACCGCCGACCTCCTCAAGGCCCTCGAGCACTGCCCTACCAAGTCGTACATGCTGATTCAGCACGATGGAGTCGCCGCCGCCGACTACGCAGACGGACGCGCCATGCCACAACTGAGCCAGTACATGTCTGGCCAGCATTCCGAAGTCAAGTCAACTGTGGCGATTCCCGATGTTGTTGGAACTGTCGATGTCGCAGCTCTCGCCAACCATCTGCTGCCCAAGTGTGGGCGCGATGATGGCTTCATCTATCGCGCAACCTTCCCAGTGAGCCCCGGTTCCGATGCGTTTCGCATCGAGCAGCTTCAACGCCACGGTAGGCAGTACATATCTAGAGTACTTTGCACGAGCTGACCAGCACAGACGCCAAGTTCAACGACGCCCTCGTTGATTCCATCAAGTCCCAGGACTACACCTTTATCTACATCACAACCCCTCCCACCGAGGCGCAAGCCAAGGAGTCGCTCGAGCACCACACATACGAGATGGAGACCTCCTTCCCAGAATCCGTGCAGATGGAGCTGAAGCGCGATCTATCTTCGCATGCCAAGCGGGCAAACTCGACTGAGGGCGGCCTTTTCGAGAAGTACCAGTACTTCACACCCGGCATCTTCATGGGATTCGCTGCCATTATTCCGATGTTCCTCATCCTTCTGGTCGGTATCCGGGCCCTCACCAGTCTTGAGGTTTCGTACTTCGCCTTCAGCAAGGAGATGGGCCCCAACGCGCAGAAGAAGCAGTAGGAGGCACCCCGGTGGATAGAAAACTTGTTAGCGCAAAATGTATATCCTGTAAGTTAGTAGGCATGATGGACCGGCGTTTGGAATTTGGATCTGTAGCGAAATACCAACATTGTGTTACCCAGGTTTTGCCTTTACCTGACATCTTTTTCTACTGATAACAGGAGCCCTGCATATATCGCAACCAGACATGCGCATAAGTCAACGTTGGCGGGCCGTTCGGGCTTGCTAGACTGATGATGTTAGTCGATCGGTTCCCCAACATTTACCGAGAACTTAACATGCCGGAGTAACCACCTACGTCCACAACCGCGCTAGGTTAGGCCTCCACGGGTACACGAACAAGGGGTTCCCGTCCGACGTGTGGCAAGCATTCTGGCGTAAAGTGTATATGTACAGCTTTCTGTGTTTGAAATTCAAGTTCGCTCTTCGACATCTCACCATTGACAAGCACACAAGTCATTCAAAGACAGGCCTAGTGTCCATCGAGAGCTTTGAGCAAGACCCAGAAAAGCAATACTCGCACACATCCCACCATGGCCTCTCCAAAGCCGATGGACATCATCATCTTAGGTGGTGGCATAGCTGGCCTAACAACTGCCCTCTCCCTCACCAAGTTTGCGCCTGTTTCATCACCACCAAACATCACCATATTCGAGATCCGACCTGAGCCCGCGACAATCGGCGGTGCCGTAAACCTCACACCTAACGCTCTGCGTCTCCTCTCACATCTAGGAGCTCTCGACGAGATCCGCGCCAAAGGATATGGCGCCGAGTGTCTCGCAGTCGAAGTCTTCGACCTTTACACCAACGTCAAGATAGCAGAGAGCTCATTCAAAGGACCAGACGGAAAGGGGTTGGGCGACCCTCCATTTACTGCCTTGAGAATCACAAGAGGAGAAGCACTCAAGGGAGTACTCGCCGCCATCGAGAAGCAGTCCAACATCAAGCTCATCTGTGGCAAGAAAACGACCAAGATCAACGAAAGCGACACCAGCGTCACCATCGACTTTGAAGACGGCGGAAGCGCAACCGCCGACATACTAATCGGATGCGACGGCATCCACAGCGTCACCCGCCTCAAACACGTCGAGCCAGAGCGCAAAGCAATGTACAGTGGAATCTGCAACGCCTTTGGATTTGCCCCACGACGAAAGATCTCCGAAGACAGCAAAGACTACGAGCCCACGCACTTCGACGTCAGCGGCATGAACTTTGGCCGTCGCGGCATGATGTTGACGTCTTTCCACGACCAAGCCCGCGAAAGCATCTACGTAGGCGCACTGATGCAAGTCCCCGAGATCGCCGACCGAAATGGCTGGAAAGCAGCAGGCGCCGATGCGCAGAAGACGCGGGATGAAATGCTAGAGCGGTATTCTGGTGCTGCGAACCCGCAGATTGCGCATTGGATTGAAGACGCAGAGGGTCTGTATCTCTGGCCTGTGTTTACGCTTTCCAAGGGAGGCAAATGGGCTACCGACCGTGTTATGCTGATTGGAGACTCTGCTCATGCTATGCCTCCGCAAGGCGAGTCAACGGGGATTGTCTTTGAAGATGGTGTCTTGTTCTCGCGCTGCTTGGCCAAGTGGATGGAGAGTAAACGCGATGAGGGCGTACCGGTCAAAGAAGCGTTTGATGCGTACGAGACTCTGAGACGTGCGCGTATCGATACTGCGTTCGATGAGAGTCAGAGTGTGGTTAAGACGGTGCAGGACACGCCTTGGTTGGGTCACAAGATTAAGATGAATGTTGTGCCGTGGTATCTTTGGTGGACAAGGACTTATCGTGAGAAGCATTTTGTGGAGGATGTCACGACGTGTGATATTGCGTACTGATAGGCTGGTACCCTGCTTACACTAGGTGGCACAGTGCGTCACTTCACAATCTCAGATCAAGCCCTGGAGTTGTTGACTAGAATCTCACATTCGCCGCACATTTTCTTTACCTTGTCTGCTTTTCGAATATCTGATCCTGCATCTGCATGTCGACCAATTCTAACTCATCGCTTACAATGCTCATCCCTTCCTCGAACGCCACAACATGTCTTAGTATTGTTCTCCAAGCGCGCTCGTCGGTTCACTGAAAGTCCATTCCATCAATACTGCGCTATTTCCAAAGGACCAGACGAGAAATACAAACTATATAGAGAGCTCTATAGGTTCCTAGTAATGCTTCAATACAACATTCTACAGCCCTTCAAAACTCCATCTCTTGAAGCCAATCTCCAAAGCCGTTCTTTCCAAAATGCGACCCTTCTTCGATGCTACAGAATTCCCTTCCTTCCGCTTCTCAAACGAATCAAGTTCATACCGGGTGCTACGTCTGAATTGCACGATCAGCAACATAAGTCCTGTTGCAAGTCCTGTTTCAACACCAACTCCGACGATCGGTTCCATACCCCACGTCCAGCGACACAATTCAGCGGTTACTACACCAGTTCTGGAAACTAAAAAACTGGTCGACGACTTGGCTATGAAGGTCGAAGTGAACGCTTTCTAGTCTCAGAGACTACGTGAGATAGACAAGACGTGATGACTTGAGTGCGAAAAAAAGGAAAACGAGATTACAGCTATACTTTCGGTGAAGGAAGGCAGACACGTGTAATAATAGAAAAACTACATGATCAATATCTGTACATTCACGCACTGTTGTCACTACAAACATTAGTAAATAAAAGCACGAATGAGAGAGAATCATCCCTCTCTTCGCAGCCCACTACAACCCACCTCACCACCGCATACCACACCCGCGAACAACACCCAGCACAACCCACCCGCCATTTCCCCATGCAGCAACTTCCCCAACTCTCATCGATCACTGCAACACAACCACCTTGATCCATGCCACGCTGCACTGCGCAAAAGGCGAGAAAAAGCGAAGAGCGCGACACTCGCTCTACTGCACGGGAAGCGCACGCGCAGCGCACGGTAATTGGCTGCGAACCGGGTTCCTTGTGTGGAAAGAGTGGATTGTCACACCGGTATACTTACCTCCGTTGTTTGGCGAGCGAGCGAGCGAGTCGCGTGGTGAATGGGTTGTTAGGGTTGTTCCCTGCAGGGTGCTGTATTGAAGGATTGGGAATGGTTTAATTAGGGGATGTAGTGTGGTGTGTGTGGGTTGGTGGATTGCGGATGACGGGCGGGTGAGATCTTGTGAGGGAAGCTGCACGGGATCAAGCGGGAGGGGTCCACGGGTAGGGGTGTGGGTTAGTGGGAGTACTGTGCGTGTCTGCTGCGATGGAGGAAGGTTGCAAAGGTTCAGTGGAAGTTTAGAAGGATAGGAAGGTTTCCTAGCAGCTTTCTTAAGTAGAAGTATAAGGTGGTTGTGTTGTAGAAGGCGTTCTGCGGCTCCGCATCAAGCGTTGGTGCTATAGTCGTACCAAACTCTCAACAAAACCGGTGCTTCTCTCCACATCTCTCTAAACACTTGCACCCAAGACAGTATCATTAATCAACATACACAACCGACTCACTTAAACCCAACGCCCAGCACAAGAAGTCGCAATCCTACATCACCGGCTACAACAATCTCCCCTCCCTGCTTCCAAAGTTCCCCCCTTCAACACCCGCCCGTGCCACACGGCTGCATGAACGGCCCCCGATTCCTAACAACAACCCACTACTTTACCAACGCCGCGCCGTCGCCCCCCTCCCCCCAAAAAAGGGTCCTTAGCGCTTCATGTGATCGCATTTTGCTGCATAATTGCAAGGCTAAGTATACGTTTGCAGCCGTTCCAGTAATCCACGGTTTGCAATGTCAGACTGCCGTATGCGGTAAATGGCCCCACTTTGAGCAGGTGGGTTGGTTGCAGATGGGAGGAGACGCGTGAGTTTGGTGTTTTGGGCTTGTAGATGCAGTAAGGATTTTGCAGGTGGTAGGTCTTGGGTTTCGAGATTTGTCCGCGACGGCGCTGACTCGTTCGGTGCGACTGTCGTTGTCAATCGAGGATGTAAATGGTGAGGCTTGGCGGTTAAAGGTACCTCGGCAGCAGGCGGAAGCCGTGTAGCAACCGGTTACATTTCGACGGACGAACGTAGAACAACTTATTTGTGCGTTTGTCTAGTGTTTCGTTCACGTCTCCGAGTTTGAGGGATACCGTTACGCAGGTCTGTGCAAGATACTAAACACAGTCTCTCATCGTTCGTGGTGTTCTCGCTGGTATGTTTTTCCCTCGAAAAGCTTCATCACTGGGTACCTGCAATCGGTGCGTGGATGCTCACACAGTTCAGTAGCATCTAGAGAAACAACACAGCAGACTTTGAGCTACCAGACGCCAGAAGCAACATCACCAACCATGGCGCCAAAAAATCTTCGCAACACATACACGCCGCCTTCGAGCCCACAACTCAACCCCATCATCATCTGTGGCATCGTAATGGCCCTTGCCGCTGCTCCTACCCCCGCCATACTTCATCCTGGTAATCTCAACTCACCGCTTCCGGAAAACGTTGCTACAGCTGGACGATGGATCCAGACTGGGTTATTCTACTTCCTCTATGGCGCACATGCAGTCGAGACACTCATGTTCATGAAGAGGTTGAAAGAGCACGGCGTTGGATTTCTGAGTGCTGCGTGGTTGAAGTGGGTAGCGACTTGTTATGTTGGAGGGCAGTTCTGCTTTCAGCATTTTGATCGCGTGGTGGGTAAGAATGCATAGGTGGAGGTATTGTTTAAAAGCTGGACAGGAGGAGAGGTCGAGAATGATGTGGAGAATAGTGAATCAGACTGAACAAGAATATACATGGTAGAAGAGAATGTGGAGACTGAAGTTGTACAGGTGCACAATCACTCCTGCTGTCTTACGCGTTCACTACCGATACTCTTTTGCTCAATCTCCCCAACGGACGACTCTTAAGCCTGCGTCGTGTTCTTTCCGTTCAACACATCTAAGAAAGCTGTGTACGCAGGCTTCTTCTGGAAGTTATCCGTCCAGAGCAATGCAGATCCCTCACCGTTGAAGGTGCCAGGAACCCAGGAATACTTATCCGCAACACCCTGATCACCATAAGTCAGCACATATACTCAAGCCATAGTAGACGAACAGGTTCAACTTACCCAGATAGTCATTCCGACACAGCGTTGCACGTTAATACAACTCTGAGCAATCCTCGCCCAAGCCGCCGCCGCATCCGTCAACTTCTGCGAGTTACTAGGTGTGCGAGATCGTACATCCAACTCGGTGTACGCAACGTCGACACCAAGATCAGCGTAATCCTGAAGCACCTTGGTCAACACCGCTGTGCTGGGCGTGACGTCGCTCTGGGTGCCTGTAGGCTCAGACACCACATGGCCCTGAAGACCCACGCCGTCGATCTTGACGCCCCAGGATTGCACAAGTTTGACGATGCGGAGGGCGCCTTGGTGCTTGGCCGAGCCATATTCGAGATTGTAGTCGTTGTAGTAGAGTTTGGTGGTTGGGTCGGCGGCAGCGGCCATGCGGAAGGCGATGGGGAGGTATTGTTCGCCGATTACGCGGAGGAAGACGTTGTCTCTGTTTGTGCCGTCTTCGTTGAGGGCTATTGGTGGTGCGTTAGTTGGGCTGTGACGTCTTGTTTTTACGTGGTCTTTGTACCTTCGTTGACGACGTCCCAGTGGGTACATTTCCCTTTGTATCTTCCCATGACTTGCTTGATATGGTTCTCCATTACGCTCATCAAGGTGGCGTTGTTGTTGATTTGGTTCACCCAGCCTGGCAACTGACTGTACCAGACTAAGGTATGGCAGCGCATCTATTGTACCTGTCAGCTCTGATTGCTGCCAGAGTTTACCTGTAATGTTATGATGGATATCCTACCTGCTTTCCGTTCTGGGTTGCAAAGTTCGCAATAGCATCTGCCTGTCCCCAGTTGAACTGGCCCCGATTGGGCTCTGTAGCATCCCACTTCATAGCATTCTCAGGCGTAATGGAACCAAACTCCGCACTGCGGATGATGTTCTGCTCGGTGTTGTCATTGCGGATGGTCAAAGAAGTGCCGATGTATGAACGGCCTCGCGCTTTCATGGCCGCATCAAGCGCTGTAGCTGTCTGCTGGCGAGGGTCGAGGGGCGTGCAGGTGGCGATGCTGGCCAAAGCCAGAACGGTGCTGAGGGTAGGGAAATGCATCTTGGGTATTGGCCGTGACTTCCATGGTGAAGACTTGGGTGGCTCTATATATCTGATCTGTGACCCCGGATGTTATACGACGTCAACCGGGTTTTCTATCTGATGATCTCAAAGTACGATGCAAATACCCGTCTTGACATGTGTCTCTTAGAGTACTACACCCGTACAGCTAGCTTCCATAGTGTCGGTCATACTGGGCAGATCTGGCTCGAGAATGTACCCGGTGTAGAGCGCATGTGCACCATGTAAGACATATCGGAGAAATTAAAGATCGTTTATGTCAAGCAGGGTCGATGGGCTTGGTATCTGCTAAGTGTGCGGGGGAAGGGATTCTTTGAGCATGGCCCTTTAGCCTCTTTACCCGCTCGGCACATATTCGGTACTCCTCACGGTAAAGTCGTGGACATGTGAGGTGTACCTGAACATCATCGTGAATATATGCGGGGTTTACTATACCTATTATCTAACAGCCAATTCAACCAGAAAGTCGACATTGTAAGCCACACCACCGTCGACGACATATCTGCCGGATTGTTTGATCTGAACGTCGAACCGACGAATAATCTTTCAAGTTAGCAAGAAACATCGCGAGATCTATTTCAGAAAAGACTCACCTCCGGTAACAGCTTGTACATCTCCAACTTTGCAACATCTTTACCCAGGCACATCCTCGGTCCGACCCCAAACGTGAACTGAGCTGCCTCCAGCTCGAAGTTCCTCTTCTCACCTTTCAACCATCTGTCAGGCTTGAAGTCCTCAGCATCCTTCCCGTAGAACCCTTTGTCTCGCTGCACGACGTACGCCTGGCTAGTAACATCCATTCCGCCAGGCACATAGTGTCCATCAATGACTTTGCCACCCTTTGGTGTCACTCTAGGGAACAGATTGGGGGCCGGTGGGAAAAGGCGAAGTCCCTCCTTAATGCACGCAATGAAGAACGGTAGATGCTGGAGGGTCTCGTCATAACGGATTGGAGTTGATAGAAGGCCGGCCGAATCTGCTGCATAGAGCTCTGCGCGAGCACGTGCGAGAGTAGACGGGTCCGACAATATGAGTCGGAGGATGCAACCCATTGCTGTGCCAGTCGTGTCTGCTCCAGCTTGATAAAGAAGCGTAACATGGGCACGCTTTTGCGTCGGGGTCAGTGGTGAGCCATCTGAGTAACGGGCGTCGAGACAACTAGATGTTATAAGTACGAAGACAACGCCTAAAGGGACACTGCATATGCTTACTGCTGTAGGAAGTCTGGCCTTCCATCATATGGCTTCTCTTTGTTTTGCTGCTCTCGCACGGTGACCTGACGGTCTGCCTCACCCATCAACCAGCCCATCCCATAATCGTTGGAGGTAGTTGGTAACAGCCAGACCCCTAGAACAGGCAGTCGTAGGATTCTCTCCCGCAAAAATCGAAACCTTCCCGAGAAGCCGAAAAATGTCAAACCTTTGCGCCAATTGGTTAACAAGTACTTTTCATCGCGCTGGTTCTCAACACTGCCAAAGGGCTGCGTAAACGAGATTATGCTGAGGATATCCGCTGCAAATTCGGCGACTTTGTCAGAGAGGCAAATGGTTCGCTTGGCCTCAGCATGTTCTTTCATCTTCTCAACGAGAAGGGAGACGTGGCCATCGAACCGAGGCTCCCATACATTCTTAAGCGGGCCAATGGACCATGGGGCGTTCGATAAAGCCTTGCGCAGAACACGGTGCTTCTCACCGTCTATCGTGGAAACCAGATGTGGAGGTCCCAAAGCGCCACTGTCGTACATGCCAGCCCTAGTGTTGCACTGTGGGTCTCGGTAAATGTCTTTCAAGGCGGACGGCTTGGGAAAGAGCAGCATCGTAGGGGATATGCGTATTGGGTGATCCGCTGCGTTCATGTCAGAAGCTGCAGCCGTGCAAGAGAACGAGAGGGTTGCCTACTTCCGTACTTCTCTACCAGGTACATGAAGAACTGAGGCTCCCTGTGCAACACAGAGATTATAGCACCCACGACTGAGAACGAAGTCGCATACCATGGTCCCGGGAACTTTGAGAGAGGATGCAGCCTCTGCATGTAGATTATGCGACCCAATATTGCTGTAAAGAGAATCACGAACGTAGCAAGACTGATGTTCAAAGCCTTTGCGGCGAGGTCTGCTATATCGAAGATCGCCATCGTGCGCACCTCTTGCCAGTAAAACTCGTAGTGAATAGAATGTAAGGATCAGGATTGAGAGACGGAAATAAAACAAGGCGTCAGCAGTATTTATGTTGCTCGACAAAGCCCTTCCTCGCCCAGCGTAGATTGGCTACATGTCGGCTGCCTTTTGTGAGGGGTATCTAGCGGAGCTCACGCCATGCTCGCATGCGATACACAAGCGCATGGGAAGCATGCTTCTGGTATGTTTCCATGGCTGCAATTGCGATGCTGTGGTGGGGAAGCCTGTCGTGCTGGCGCCGTGGTGGATGCCTACGCTCGGCGCGTGTGAACGTATCCAGTGCATTCGCCGAACGAGGCCAAACACCTACATGGACAGCTGCAAAGTAATCAAAAAGCTGCTTACGCAACACACTTAGTTGCTTAGCTACCAGCGTTACAGGAATGTGAACGAGAGTCGAGGCGAATGCGCGTTGATCTCCAGCGCTATGTGGAGGGGGTGGCCGGGGCAATATGCAAGCGGCATGCGAGAATCCTAACGGGAGGAATCACGCGTCCGGGATGACCAGGGCGAGCCTTAGTCATAATCGGATCTGGCATGTCTCGTAGGCACTTTGCATGAGCAATTGATAGGCGTACATGCATGATGCAGCGAAAAGGATAGAGTTGTAGAATCGAGAAAGTTGCCGTGCACGATGGGAAGTCCCTCAACACACAGTTCGTCGAGGGCACCATTACTTCATTCGAAGTTCCCAACCAGGTAGGTTTTGCCAGCGTAGTCGAAATCAGCAATCTTGAGGGAACAGGTCAGCCACTTCCTGCAGGACCTTCTCGCTACAGGGAACACTCGGGGTACAAAATTCCTTATCGCCCCAGATCGGTTGGGAGATCATTACAGATTTGGTTGGATGTTGTGGTAAAATCGATGTCAAGCGCATGTTGGAGGGGAAATCATGTTAAGACGGATTTGGTGTTGGGTGGAAATCAATATTCACTCAATTTCTGGCGCCATAATCCACAGTCTCTCCGAACCTGCCGTATGGGGTAAGTGGGTAGTCTCAGCCAATCAAAGCCGATCGCATGCCCTCCGCCCTTCTTATTCTCACCCCGCCTCCTGTTTCGCTGCCGACGTGTGTTGACCGATGGCAACCCTGAACGGCAGATGTGCGTAATTTTCCAAGAGGTCACTACTTGGCGTAATCTTGTGTCAAACACGCGCGTCGACATGACAATCCGCGGTGCGAGCTACACGCGCCTCAAGGTATAGTGTGAATATTGGTCATGTTTCCATGATAGGGTGATGTAACGATGTAACGACACACAGGGACAGGACGTCTGGGCCGCGAGTGCATCGAATATCCTGTAATGATGCTTGGTACTGAACCAGAAGGAGAACCTCACTCTACCGGCCTCCATCAGGGCCCGGCTCTCTGAGGCGGGGTTCCGAGAGAAGCAGGTTATAACCTCAGAACACTTCCCCATCCATGGATTGAAACTTGAAGCGCCGTCCGCCATGTCTGATGTTAATCCACTCGATGTTTTGGCTATCAAGAATGTCGTATCGCGATATTGCCAGGCCTTGGATTTGAAGGACTTTGATCTGCTAGGGAAGGTTTTCATATCCGATGTCGAAGCCAGCTATCCTTTCAATGAAGCCATGAAGAGCCTTGATGAGGTGAAGGATGCGATCAAGAACCGGTAGATTCATATCCGCATGCTGACAAGTAACAAGATAGAGTCTGACAGTACACAGCCTTGGACCAGTCCGCACACACCACAACCTCACGACGCAAACCATCACGTTCAGATCCGATGCGCAGACGGCACGAGCTGTCACGTACTTCCAGGGTGTCCACGTAAGTCGTTAGAATGTAGTCTTCACTCTTACTGTTCAGAAGCAACCAATATGCCTTGGAAGCCCGTCAAGGCGTTCGAGTCGCGCAATGGCGTAGTTTGCCGTACACGGGTGTTTCGCACACATAAGTCTAGGAATAGATACTAAGTCTCACAGTTCGGTCAAGGCCCTCACGAGGGCAAGATGCTATGCGCGTATGGCAAGTACGTGGACGACATGGTAATGCTGGAAGCGAAAAACGGCGACTGTGATGGTGTGCGCGGTGCGAGCGGGATCTGGAGGATCAAGGACAGAACAGTCACCTTCACCCAGCGAATCGGAGATGAAAAGATTATGAAGGAGCATTGAGGGTTGCGACGCGGGGTGGAAGTCGCTTGCTGCCGCCATTATCTAGCGCACGAATGCTGATTATACCTTCCTCACCACTTGCAGTACAACCAAGAGTTTCGACCACGTGTATGCCGCTGCCTAACTTACGAGGCCCTTACTTCCAAAGTCGGCTTCCTCTCGCGTCAACACTGTCATCTGAGATTTCACCTCGTCACCATTGTCCTGCATAGTTATCTCATCACATTCATTGCTGTGTTACTGTCGCTCACGCCCACTGAAACATTCTTACAACTACAGCGACACCGCCAAACACGATGACGACACCGATGTTTAGCGACAAGCTTCCTACCCCGCTGACAACGGCACGGAAGACTGATGAAGCATTCCTCTAGACCAGGTGCAAGATATATATACAGCCGTAATACTGCTGCTACAGTCGCAAGCACATAACTGACATGCACAGGACATCAAGATGCGAATCGAACAGCTTCAAGAGACTACGTACAGAGTGGTTTTACTCACCCTACCGCAGCGATGAGATCGAGGCATACGATTTATCCTTGAAGAAAGTCGACGAGAGAGACACATGCTGCATCGTTTACATCCGTCACTTTTCTGTTACCGGCTTAGACTTTGCGTACTGCATACATGGACGCGCAAACCTCGTGAAATTTCATTCCGATGTGCATGGCGCGACAGCGGTATGTTGGACCAGCTATCACTTTGCGACCAAGACCCAGCTGAACGCATGACCTATAGTACAACGGCCCAATTCTCGCTTCGTTCATATCGCTCCTTGGGCAAGAACTCACTGTAGAACACGAAGAATCCCGACCGATATACTGGCCCAATTTCAACAAGGTGCCGAAGCAATCCGGGAAGTTGGAGGAAACCCCCACAAGGGCTGAGAAGGATCGCTGGCGCTATATGTTTGAGACGGCGCGATTGGCGTTCAGCAAGATGCGGTTTGATGACGAAGACTTCCAAAACCTTGAGAAACTGGTGGGAGATGCCATCAAGCTGAGGGACGACACTCCTGAAGAATTCTTGGGCCTAAATGCCATCAGCGCGGGTCGGCACCACCAAGTACAAAGAGCCGCTATCGAGCAAACCGTCAAATTGCTCCAAAAAAGGCACAACGACGATGAGGTTTACGAGTTTCTGAAAAATGAACTGTTTGGCCGGCGCCGACGACAAGGACATAACTCACTTACTGATAAGCAGAAAGACCTAGTAACCCGATTTTACAACCTTATCGATGAGCTTGCGATGTTGAACGAAAGTGGGGATAGCGACACAGCCGGAGACAAAGAGCGTTTCGCAGAAGAACGAGTCTCGGCAACTGCAGAAAGGGAGATCCTGGTCAGGCAAATACTAGACGAACTTGCGCAGCCTATCGACGAATCCGACACGGCTTCATCCCCCAAGTCGTCGCGAAGGCCAGTTCCGAGTACGCCCTCAAGCGACGAAAAGCCATCAAGCGAGAAGCCATCAGAAGAAGAGGAGCCATCAAAGCAAGAGAAGCCTGAAACTGACGAAGTAACAAGCAGACGTCAAACGAGGCTTAAGGCAATACAAAGATTCCGCGAGCTCGTGGTGGACATCGACTTTGAAGATGCCCAGAATATGCTGGACCAGGTCAATTACAACGTGACCGACGCTGTGAACATGTACTTCGAAGATGAGGAGGACGAAGAGCGACCCGTATCGCCTCATCCACAGCTGGAGGCTGGCTCGAAGATGAGTCTTGAGTCTTGCATTTCTCCTGCTGGTGAAACTACAAAGAGTCCTACCTCGACTGGTGACTCGACAAGCAACACCAGGCGAACTTTCACGGCTATCAATGAGTCTGCCTTTACGCCCATGCGAATTCTGGAGCGAGAGGCAAAGGAAGCAGACAAGCGTGCGAACTTTGAAAGGCTGAAGAGTATGATACAAGCAGAGGCTAACCAGGGCGTGCAAATAGGCGGCGAAGACTTTCACGAGAAGCCGGCACTCACAACTGTTGGAACTATACAGGAGGAAGTAAACGCAGCAAGAGAGCCTAAAGAAAGACGACGACTGGAGTCTTTGCTACTTGCGCCAATTGCCAGGGAGTTGGGAAAAGCCAAAGACCTTCTGAATACCATGTCAACATCCTCGAAAGTTACCAAATCGAAGACGCTCTTAGGTTGCTCCCACGCTGGTCAAATTGTCCAATTAGATCCCCAGGGCAATGTTATCGCACCAGCAACAGAAGAAGAGCCAGCACCCGAAAGTCAATGGCAAGCATACCGAGCTATGAGAAGCAGACTACAAGTGCAGTACTACGGTACCGAACACTGGTTCAACAACCCCGACCCCATTCGTGGCGTCCCTCAAAGAGAGAGACCTGGATATGTACGACCAGACGACCTGGAATGCCACGATGCCACGATCTCGACTGAAGCGGACGACGAGGCTCAGGAGGCGTTCCAATCGATGCAGAATGCAAATGCCGTATTGATAGCCAACCTGACCGAAGAAGAGCGCAAAGTCCTGCAAGAAGAAAGAGACCTAGCCTACGCAAGATCACTGGATGCTCAGTTCAAAGCCGAAGCAGGAGGAACAGTTGCCGATGCAGCAGACGTAGGGTATGCGGAAGGAGAGTGGGACGCTATCAAAGCTACGATTGAACTCTCCAAGAAGCCAACAAGACCTCCTGTACCGAAATTTCCGATACCGGAGTCAATTGACGGCTACCCTTCTACCCGCGACAATGATAGTCCAGCAAATAGTGAGCACGACTCTGCTTTCGGCGACGATCAACACGAACCCCCTCCATCTAGATCGAACAACAAGCGGAAATCCTAGTCAGATGTCGGCATGGAATCTGACCAAGAAGAGAACAAGAAGGGGAAGATGAACCCACCATCTTTTGTCAGCATGCGAGATCTCGAGAAGGGGGAAAGTGCCGTCGACGAGGCTACTCAAGAAACGAAGCGTGATCTCTCCATCTCAAAAGAAGAAGATGCCTGGGCTGGAAACGATAGCGATGCGGAATTCGAAGACGAAGACATTGACTATGGCGATGACGAGGAAGCGGGTACAGATGCCGATGCAGAAGGCGATACCGATGACGAGAACGAGATTGATGCATTCAGCGGTTCCGTCTTTACGCCAAACGCCGACAAAGACGTTGTCATTGGTGCGGTGACGCAGAATGCACATCAGATGCTCAGGGTGAAAGACGAACAGGAGAAGAAGGACTCGCCCATGACGTTCAAGCCGGGTGAGGATACGGATATGGATGATGAGGACTCGCCGGAGGAGACTAAGGCCATGAAGGTTGATGAGGAAGATGATGGTGATATGGTTGAGGATTTATATCGTTGGTGAGTTGACACTTCATCACTTGATGTGCATTGAAACACACAGCAAGATCGGCGAAGATGCGCATTCTGCGGTGGATAGCTAGACATGTCCCATCGTGGAAGTGTATTATGGTTCTACGCATTCTCACTTGTACACGTCTATGAGAAGCTAGAGAAGCTCTTGATAGAGTACTGATCGAATTCAATACTAAAACTAACACGACCACCCATTAAGTGCCCAAAGAATGCAAGGGTATTTGGCCGCACACGGGTCGGTGGCGGCAATGTAAGAAGATCTAAAGACCCCAGGTATGTCGTCCAAGCGGTGATGCGTGGAAGCATCTAAATACATATTCGTTACTCGTGTCTCTTGTACGCCTATAAGATGGACGTAGCACCGTCATGCCATGCAGCGCAGCCGTTGGGTTGTCTGGACTACTCATTGTCCAAGAACTCTACCATCACACTTGCACCCTTGAGTCCAGCGACTTCAATCGTGTCGTCGACGTGGTCGAGAAGGTTCTTGCCCATGAAAGCCAGATCGAACTCAGCTCCTTGTTTGCCTTCCCAGGGTACGTCGGACTTGATCCACTCGTAGACACGGCGAACAGGATCCGACAGATTGAAGCGGCGCACGATTGGGCGTCCTGACGGTCCTCGGAATTGGATGCGGGTCGTAACTTTGGGGTCGGTAACGGTCGGCTCGGTGTGGGGAGCATGTGAAGAGATAGCGGCGAAGACAGGATTTGAAGGAGCTGCCTCGGGCTCGGCTTCGGGCTCCGGGGCGGCTTCTTCGGCCTTGCCCTTGCCCTTGATGTTGTCCGTAGATTTGGTGAGAGCATCTGGGTCATCATCCTTTGGCCCCTTGCCGTTGTCCATGCTGTTTTGTAGTGCCATCTCTAGCATCTCCTCCTCAGTCATGCGGCCTACGTCCTTCTTCTTAGACTCAGACTTGCGCTTAGCTACGGGGTTCTTCGCGTTGACGTTGAGGCTGTAGCGATCAAGGAACTCGTGGAGCTGAGCATGGAACTCAACTGGCTCGGGTATCGGTGGGCCGGACCAGACCTTGACTTGCTCACCCGTTCGGGGATCGACGATGGCGATGTGAGGGTAGGCGTCGGAGCTGTCGCGGGCGTGGAAGTAGTAGTTCATGTACTGCTGTCCACGCTGGTCGTCCTTTGCGTATTGCATAAAGATGAAGTTCTCTCGCACAGTCGCTTTGATGTCTTCGTTCTTCCAGATGTCCCTGTTAAGGCGCTGGCAATCAAAGATTGCAGGATCTTGGATGTTGACGAGTAGCCACTTCTCCTCATCCTTGCCCATGTCTCGCGCCTTTTCCCACGATCCTTGGTACATAATCTCGAATGGTGGGCGGAATAGCTCTGCGAGCATGTTCATCTTAGAAGACTGCTCGGAAGCACCGCCCGTCGCGGTCGCAAGCTCGCGTCGCCGAGTGCTCGAATCGGTCGCGTTGTCCCAGACATTGGTGTGGGTGGTGTGCTGGTTGAAGATACCTGCGCGGCCTTGATCCAATGGGTCAGCAAAGTTCGGGAACTGTATATATGAGGTGTGCGGCATACCTGTCCGCCGACGAGCCAGCTGCTCCTGGACCATGGCATCGAGATCCTCCTCGTCCTCAGCAGGCCCCCAGTTCGAGCCTGGCCCAACGAGTGTTTCCATTCTCCGCTCTATGGGCGCGCGGACCTCATCAGAGCCAGCTCCTCCAGGCGCGCCACCGCCGTACATCTCTTCTTGTAACCTCCGTGCCATGGCTTCGTCATCTTCCACGCCTGGCTGTGCTCGTGCGGGTGGCGTCGTGCCTTGTGGCGCAGGGTCGAAGTCCATGTCATCGTCTGAGTCGACATTGATGGGATTCTGTGCGGAGGAAGCGGCAGCTGAGGGCTGTGCGGGAGCAGAAGGAGCATCGGCGAGCCCAGGGGAGTCGAAGAAGAGCTGGATGGCCTGCTCCAAGTTGCCATCTGTCAGGCGCAGATACTGGGCGGCCTTGTCTGGGTCGCACGAAGTGATGCCGCAGAAGTTGAGAACGTTCTCGTCGTCCATCTTGGGCGACTGTGTGGGGTTCGACTTTGGGCGCTTGAGCTTAGTCTTGAGCTTGGGCAGGAAAAGACGACTCTTTAACCTATGGGGCAGGTTGCGAAAGCCTTTGTGAGGGCGGCGTGCTATTCCGAAGGCGCTGTTTGGCTCGCGTAGCAAGTTTGTGTAGTTGGGCGTGTGTCAAGAATTGTGTGTGGCGGTCGCGACTGCAATCGAGAGAACCGTGGTGGGGCAGTTAAGTACCCATCAAAGTCCGACAACGGCTATCGAGGTGCGTGCACAGGGTATGGCGATGATTTGTGAGGCGGAAGAGACGCGAATTCGTGGGGCGGTGAGGGTGCTACACAGTGCGAGGTATGGGCGTCGAGTGCCAGTGTGATTGCAGGTGCGGTCGACGGCTTGTGACAGGCGCGGCTCCGGCTTGCTGGCTGGTACACGGCGGGGTGGTGGTTGAAGGGAATGGGACAGGCTAGGAGAGGGGCGAATTGCTAGCCTGGCGGTGTTGTAGGAGTGTCAGATAGGCAGAAGGCGTCGACGTGGGCAGAAGCACGTCGAAGACGCGATGCGATTGTTGCAGGCAGTTGCGACTGCGTCATCCCGGTACCCGTGCGCCCACCCCTGTCGCTGTGAATGTCCGACACCACATGTGGCAATCACGGACGAAGAGGCTCAATACACTACGACACTGCGTCGTTCGGCCATCTAGTCCTCCCGCGGCCGATGAGCCACGCCATCCGCCTCTGCCTGCTGCGTCTGCTATAAGACTCTCGTTTGTTGATCAACATCCTCATTGCGATAGTCCCATCACATCTCGCCATGGCGTCAGAACAAACTCCCGAAGCCAAAGAGCTTGCTCTTGTGGGCAAAGTCGAGATGCGCATTGCGCTGGCTAGCTCGGAGAAGAAGCTTGAGGACTTGCTCAAAGTCTATCTCTCTCCACTACTACTCAAACTCGGCTCAGATAGCGTTGCTGTGCGGAATAAGGTAAGCCTCACACTCTTTCGGCTGGTGGCTCGACATCGTCCATCTTGATCACCACTGATGGCGGTCGCTTCTTAGGTCATCTCCATCTGCCAACACATCAACACCCGCATAAAGTCACAGTACGCTTTCATCTTCGCCCGACAAAGTGTTGCACTGACATAGTATCACAGAGACATCAAGCTCCCTGTGAGTGCTCTTCTAAAGCAGTACAAAGAGAACCCCGACATCTCTCTCATACGGCATTTCGACATCCTTTATATTCAGCAAGGCATATCGCGGCTTACAGTCGCCGAACGACTGGAGCTTCTTCCCATTCTGCTGCAAGGCATCGCCAAAGACTTTGAAAAGTCGGAACAGCATGCTTCTCAGCTGTTGCATCTCATTCTACGTCTTCTGGTCCATTTCAAACTGCCCCTCCGCGGCAGCAAGGAAGACGATGAGCTGAGGTCAACTTTGGGCCTTTCCGATGATGATGCGGCCTTCCTCTCAAAATGGTTTGGAAAACTACTCATGTTAAGCATCGTGCGAGAGAGTAACCCTCAGGCTCAAGCCACGTTGCGTTGTCCGGGCTTATCTGTCGAAGACTACAAGTTCTTGACGCTCCAGGGCAAGCCAGATGCCTGGGATCCCACCTCTGATGCAGGCCTGAATTTGACTGAATCAAAAGCCTTAGTCACGCGCTTCATGGCAAGTGGGCTGTTCAAGGAAGATGAGAAGTTCTTGCCAGCACTATTCGCATCTGCAGATACCAACTCCCGGATATCCGAGGTTGGCGAGGACACTCTGAAACGTGTAATGCTGTCCAAGGACCTTGAACGACCAGAAGTTGTGGAAACTCTGTTCGAACTCTACTTTGGCTCGAGCTCGACGAATGGATCGTTGCCCGTAAAAACACCACTACAAATCAGGATACTAAGCGTCTTGTCAAGATCTGTCAGGTGCACTGCGTACCCACTGCAAATAGCGAGGCTCGTTGAAGAAGGCCTTCTCTCGCCGGAACTGAATGCGACAAACAAGACAGCAGGGAGAGAGGCTTCCAAGTTTCGCTCAGCCATCTTCTCACTAGTCAACTTCGTTGCACGTCGTGGACAGTCTTCCGACCTTTCCCAGGTTACCGAAAGTCTGGTAGGGAACTTGAGGGCCTTCATCCAAGATCAAGGTTGGCCAACTCCGGATCGTGACCAAGATATGGAGCTACGAGGATATGGCTATGAGACCATCGGACTGTTGGCGAAGGCTGCCCCCGAAAAGATACTCCTCGAACCGTCCCTGGACTTGTTAGAGTTCTTGTTTCGATCTCTCCGTGAGGATTCGGCAGGAAAGGACGTAGCTGTCAGTATAGAAGAAGCCTTATCTTCAGTACTCGGCGCCTTCTCGAAACCTTTCGATCCTTCTGTCATGCCCAGGTTCCGGCAGATACTACTTAGATACGCGTCTGTAGATCAACATAACACGCCAGCTTCAGATCGATTTACAAGAAGTACACGTTATGTTGCGACACGATTCGCAAACCGCTGTCTTCCGTACGAGGATGTGCTGGCGCGATGGATCGACATTCTCGCGGTTAGTGGAGGGGCTTCTGAAAGGCATGAGGTCATAGAGGAAGGACGACGTGGTCTTGATCCGTACTGGTTTAGAATGTCCAATACCCCACCCGGCGAACGTGAACAGAACACATTGGTCTTTCCGGACTTCGACAAGCTGGTCAACTTTATTATCGTTCAGCAAGGGCAGGACGAAGACGCCATGGATATCGACGAGTCAGAGGATGCTCTTGTGCAGATACAACACTTCTACCAGCAATACCCTGGAGCTCTACCGATCGTCATCAGCTTTTGTTCCAGCGTCGCGATGCAGTCTGCGCTACACGACAAAGAGATGGGTGAAGAAATTCCAGAAGATTGGGACAGGAAGCTTGATGCCCAGATGACTACGGACATGCGCGCTCGGCAAGCGTTCCGTGCATACGCGGCAGACAAAGCCCACGCTCGATCGCTCGCAGTAATATTACGAGCCAGTTTTGACAGACTCACAAAAGACGATGTTAGTGACATTGGCGACATTGGCACTTCTTTCGTGCGAATGTTATCTTTGTTACCGCAGCAGCATTGGGTTCAAGCCAACGTTGTCCGAGACTTCCGCGCTTTGCAGCCCTCTATCATAGCCAACAACGCTGGGCGGCGACTTGCCGCCGCCCACGCGTATGGCTTGCTAGCATCGCACGATAGCATTGATCAAGATGCTCTTCAGTCCGCCCAAGTAGTCTTCTTCGACAAGCTCAGCACTTGGAACTCGGCTGTCGGTGCTGATATCAATCAGATAAGCGGCATCATATTAGCACTCGGCTACTACTACAGCAGAGCGTTCTGGAGAAGTGGAGCAGCATCTGCAACGATAACTGATGACCATCCGATTCAACAATTGTTACAATCAGTAGTAGAGATCATGAAGGACTCTCGGGACGCGACTTTGAAGGGTGCAGCCTTCTCTTGCATCGACCAACTCAGTCTGTTCTACGTCATCACCCCCTCGTTGCTGTCCAAGTACGCAAAGGTCGATAACATTGCGCAACAAATATATGATTCCGCCAAGACAGGCACGACCAGTGCCATCATGGCTTTAGGCCATCTATCCATGATCACAGAGGAGACTGGAGCCGAGGCTGAGGAAGCTATAGAATACAAGGCCATCGGAGACAAGCTATATGAACTACATGAGGTTCGTCAGCCGGAAGTACACTTTTCAGTTGGTGAAGCTCTGAGCTGCTTTGCCAGCGGCTGGGATTCGAAGGCTCTGACTTCCGAGCTCGACATTCTACATCCCAATCAACCGCAAGACCCGTGGGATGCGCCCCTACAGACACCATCTGGACCCAAACGTGAGAAGACGCTTGGAGCAGTTTTGGAGAAGACGTTGAAGGGTTGCGTGCAGACCAAACCCTCATTGAAGAAAGCTTCTGTAATATGGTTACTTTGTCTCCTACAGTACTGTGGTCACAAGCCCGAGATGCAGGGTTACCTTGGCCAATGCCAGGTAGCGTTCAAAAATTGCCTCTCAGATCGCGATGAGGTTGTTCAGGAGGCAGCTTCGCGAGGACTGGGCTTGGTGTATGAGAAAGGTGACCGCCAACTCAAAGATGACCTTGTCCGCGATCTAGTGGGCTCTTTCTCGGACAATAAGTCCAAGATGTCTGGTACTGTTACGGACGATACTCAGCTTTTCGAGCCTGGTGCGCTGCCCACTGGAGACGGGTCCATCACGACTTACAAGGATATTCTGAACCTGGCAGCTGAGGTTGGGGACTCAAGTTTGGTATACCGTTTCATGTCAATGGCATCGAATAATTCCATCTGGTCAAGCAGAGCCGCTTTTGGTCGCTTTGGCCTGAGTAACATCTTCTCCGATTCAAGTGTCGACGGATATCTGGCCCAAAACCCCAAGCTTTACCCGAAGCTCTATCGATATCGGTATGTTCGCTAACCCAGCAGATACATGCTGAACGTTTCGACGACATCATGTTCTAACATGGACTTAGGTTCGATCCGAACACGAATGTGCAACGCTCGATGAACGACATTTGGAATGCGCTCGTCAAGGATTCCTCGGCGACCATCGACAAACACTTTGATGCAATAATGGATGATCTGCTAGTCAGCATACTCACGAAGGAGTGGCGCGTTCGTCAGGCTTCTTGCGCAGCTATCGCGGACCTCGTACAAGGACGAAGCATTGAAAAGGTAAGAAAATCACAGTACAACACCGGGAAGCATACTGATAACTTCGCATAGTACGAGAAATACCTTGACGCGATCTGGGGAAAGACCTTCAAGGTTCTCGATGACATCAAGGAAACCGTTCGCGTCGCAGCAGCATCTCTCGCCCGTGTCCTCACTGGCATACTCACGCGTTCTCTCGAAGCCGGTGATGCGTCAAACAAATCCGCAACCATACAGCTCGAACGTGTCATACCCTTCCTCTTCTCCACCAGTGGCTTGGAGTCTTCGGCTGAAGAAGTCCGTCTCTTCTCAGTGCACACGTTGCTCCAGATCGTCAAGAAGAGCAACGCCAAAACACTCAATCCACACGTTCCAGAGCTTGTGGAACGTCTGCTCGGACTTCTCAGCAGCTTAGAGCCTGAAGCCGTCAACTACGTGCATCTAAACGCCAGCAAGTACAACCTCACGGAGCAAAAGATAGACGACATGCGACTTGCAAGCGTGCGGTCATCACCATTGACCGAATCTGTGGAGCGC